GATGCAGGGGCCAGGACAAATAATTACCCACAGCCCTATATCCTCAACCATCCTGATAAAGGCCCTAGAGGGAAAGTTAATGTCAGTGACTCATTGAAGGCAGAAGCAGAACCTGGAGAGGCTGTTCCAGTGAACCTATATAGGATGATAAAGTTTAGAAAGGTTTGATGAATTAAAACAACTCTGAGGTACCACATCACACCTATCAGATTGGCTCACATGGCAAAACAGGAAAATAATGAATATTGGAGATATGGGAGAATTGGAACACTAATGCATTGTTGGTGGAGTTGTGAACTGATCCAACCATTCTGGAGAGCAATTTGGAACTATGCCCAAAGGGCTATAAAACTGTGCATACCTTTTGATCCAGCAGTACAGTCACTACTAGATCTGTATCCCAAAAAGACCATAAAAATGGGAAAAGGACCCACATGTACAAAAAATATTTATGGCAGCTCTTTCTGTGGTGGCAAAGAATTGGAAATTGAGGGGATGCTCATCAACTGGGGAATGGCTGAACAATTTGTGGTATATGAATGTAATGGAATACTATTGTTCCATAAGAAATAGTGAACAGGTCGGCTTCAGAAAAAAAACCAGGAAGACTTGAATGAACTGATACCGAGTGAAGTGAGCAGAACCAGGAGAACATTGTACACAGTAAGAGCAACATTGTGCAATGACCAACTTTATTAGACTTAGTTTTTCTCAGTAATGCAATGATTTAAGACAATTCCAAAAGACTCATGATGGAAAATGCTATCCACATCCAGAGAAAGAACTATGAAGTCTGAATGCAGATCAAAACATACTACTTTCATTTTTTTTTGGTGGTTTTTCCTTTTTGTTCTGTCTTCTTTCACAACATGACTAATGTGGAAGTGTTTAATGATTGCACATGTATAACCTATATCAGATTCTATCCAAGTAATGGGTAACCCGATTGCAAAAGAAGGAGCATGACTCTATAGGCTCCCAGGCAGTGTGGTAAAGCCTACTGCACCCTTCTCAGAATAACGTTTTTAAATGTATAAAATACTTAGCATCACAAAGGAAACCAATCACATTAAAATACAGTTATCAAAATCTTTTTTAGAACAAGGGAGTAAGCATAAACAATGAGGGGAATGAGGAAAAAGTTCATTTAGGAGACAGCACCAGAGAGAAGTAATGAAGGAAAGTGAGAATTCTGAGAGGACATAAAAAGGAAGGGCATCCAAAACCATGGATACAGAAGACATAAAGTGAGTCCCACCATGGGGAATGGCAGAATAAATTCCTCTGTTTAATCGAGATGTTGGAGATAAAGTACTATTGCACTGGCTAGTAAAAACTTACACACATGAAAAATACTAAAAAAACAAACAAACAAAAAAACCTGAAAGACAAAGGAAATTAGTGCAAAGTGAGGAAGGCAGAATTGGAACATCATACACGGACCATATTGAAAAGGTGATGCCAGAAAATTGTTCTAAGTACACATATTGAAATCACAAGGGCATAATTTTGATACCCTATGATATAATAATGATATGGCCATTTTCTATTTGTTTTCCTACACTTACTGTTTCTATGCAGACAATGGCTGCAATTCTTCCTTTAGAGGAAAGGAAAAAAGGGCAATGAAAAACCACGTCTCATTCAAAGCCACACTGCTGGTTTCATATTTGGTCTTTGGAGAAGTAAGGAGGGAGTAAGGACCGGATGGAAGGCAAAGAAATGTGAAATTATACAAGAAACTCTAACATAAAATATCACCTGATTATCATCATACTGCTGCCAGATTCCCCAACTCCATGCAGATTTAGGGTCTGAGCAGGTTTTGTTAAGACTTCAAATCATTTTGCAGAAAAACCCTCATGAGAAAGCTTTGGCTTTCTAAAAGGGTGGAATGTACAATTACCTAACAACACAAGAGCCTCCATAGCAAACAAAAAGGAATCTGCTTTTCAGTTTGTTTAAAATATAGTTCTAAAAAGTTTGCAGGAACTGACTTACATAAGGGAAGATGCAAATTTACTGGCTGAATTTCAACAAAAACCTTTGCATAATTGGCAGATGGGATCGGAAAAATGTTTCAGGATTTAAGATGCACAGACATTTGGAATCCATTTGGATCTAGGCATTTTGGGGGGGGGGTTCTATGATAGTCATTAAAGCCAAGTATTAAAATAAATTTAGAATCAGCACTCCTATTACTGTATCACAATGTTCAACCAAAATTTTAAAAATAATGAAACATATTTGATCCCACTGCTCTCACTAAAAAGGTAATAATATTAGTGAAATCAAAAAAGATTTTTTGCCCTTAACAAAACGAAAATTAAAAGTTTATTTCATCTTTTTTGTATAGACTGCCCATGAGCCAAAAAAGATTATTAAAAATTCTTGAGCATGTAGCTCCAATCTATTTATATATGATGTACATGAACTACTGCATTATTTTTATGCACATATACAAAAAAGATGAAACTCAACAAACACCAAATAAAATGTAAAAAAAGATTGCACACAACAATGCAAAGTCTTTATTATGTATTGCTTTTCTTTTAAATATGATCTAGTCTACATATAACTTTCAAAATGGTCCAGTTTATTTGAGTCTTTATGAACTTCTTTTGTTCACTTCTGTGCATTTAAAAAAAAAAGGATTCAATGACTTTTTTTGGTTACTATTTTTATCTCTCTCCCAAACTGGAAAAAGAAAAAAGACAAAAACAAAACAAAAAAACACAACCCTCCTACCTTTTTGACAAATGTAGTCAAGAAAAAAACAAATTCCTACACAGGCCATGTTAGACAATGTTAACTTGTTCTGCCTTTAGGTGGCTCACTGAGCTTGAAATCAGAAAGACCTGAGTTCAAATTCAGCCTCTTACTAGCTGTGTGATCATAGGCATGTCAATTAACCTCTGTCTGCCTGTTTCCTCATCTATAAAATGAGAATAATAACAGCACACAGAGGTAGAAAGAATAAAACAAGATAAGGTATGTAAAGAATTTTATAAACCTAAAAGTACTATATAAATGCTAGTTATCTTGTCCATCATATGTCAGGAGGCAGGTGGCATGTTTCATTGGTTCTCTGGAACTGTGATCATTGCATTGGACAGTTTTTGTCTTTCATCACTGTTGTTATTGTTTTGTCTTTCATTTTCCCATGCCAGCAATTTTATTCACACTATTCCTAGCCCATTACCTTCCCAGAAAGTTCTCTTTTTCATCTCTATCACATTCTTTAAGGCAGGCCCAAAGCCTTCCCTAAACATCCCAGTTTGATGGGACAGGTGGTTCCCTCTTTGAAGTCCTTATGGAGTGGGGAACCTGTGGCCTTACAGGTCGTTGGGTGTGGCCTTTTGACTGAGTCCAAATTTTACTGCACAAATTCTTTTTTTGTTCTTTCTTTTATTAAGGAGACTTATTCTGTAAAGCTTGGATTCAATCAAAGGGCTGCACTTGAGGACCTAGAGGGCCACATGTGGCCTCGAGGCCACAGGTTTCCCACCCCTGCAGCCCAAGTATTTGTACAACCAATTTGTTAAATAGTCACATGTTGCTGGACGATTGGGAGAAAAGTAAGTGACTGGTTATCATAAGGTAAAGAACATTGTTTTACAATTCCCAGGATGCTCTACACCTTTAACACATAGCTGCACATAGACATATGTTCACAGGTTTGTGGAACAGATTTGACCAACCTTCCAGGCTGCTTATGGAAGCCAAGTCAACTCAGTCGGATCATCTATACCTCTGGCTTTGGCCCCAGAGTGGTCTTGCCTCTCCTCCGTTTCAGTTTAGTAAACACAAAGGCGGAAAGGGTTGGTTATCACTGTAATGGCTGAGAGCAGAAAGCTGCCAAATTAGGCAGGCTTTCCTCAACTCCTTCTACCATGGGACTATCCCTAAGAGGCATTCCAGTCACAGCTGTGTAGCACACCCTGTTGCAGGATGGATGCCACATAGCTCTTGGGGTATGCAGTGCCTGAAACAAAGATCAGTAGTGCAAACTCATATAGAAATAAGAGCTACTAACAAGGATCCTTGCGGGCTGAATATTGACTTAGTTTTTAAATGTAATATTACCTACATTTATTGAATTTTTATTTAATTTGTTATATATTTCCCAATTTAATTTTAATCTGCTTTGTGCTGCACTTGGGAAGGTTGGGGCCTCACCAAGCCTGAAGGCCATTGCTGACCCCGAGAGCCTGTCTAGCTCTGAGATTCTGTGAGAGAGCAGACATTCTCCATTAACGCAAATGACTTCAGGGACCAATGGGCAGCACTCAATGCAGCCAGTCTAAGGAGGCATAGTTCTGGACCATCCTAGGATACAGTGTGTTCCCCCAGCTCAAGAAGCATTCTACATGTCTACATGTCCTAAAATTGATCGATACAAGCTAATATGTGAATGAGGTCAGATTTTATTTGCCAGTGTTTTATCTTAGAATGTCAAAATTTCTTCCCAATATGAGAAAAACGCTCAATACTGAATGAATTAGGAGAACCCCAAATCCACTCTCATCTGCATGATTTTATTGATACAAGACAAACAAAATAGGTGTTCCAGCAAATCAATCACCCCTGATCTGTGGGGAAGGCATAAAGAATGGACATACCCCAATCGTAGTTTAGGAGCAAGATTTCTCAAAGATTTATTCGACCTTGACCTAGATAAATGTTCAGATCTGTTGCTGTTGTTCAGTCATATCCAACTTTTTATGACTCCATATGGGGTTTTCTCGGCAAAAATATTGGAATGGTTTGCTGTTTCATTTTCTAGTGGATTAAGGCAAACAGAAGTTAAGTGACTTGCCCAGGGTTCCACAGCTAGCGATCTGAGGTCAAATTTGAACTCAGGGCTTCCTGACTCCAGGCCCAACACTCTATCCACTGCACCACCTAGGTACCCTGCTCTTGAGCTAGCTAGTATCATACAATTCAATGACTGTTTTGGAGCACAGCACAAAGAGTGCCTATTAGAGAGTTGGGTGGTTTTTGGCTGAGGCACAAATTTGTTTTAAAAACAGCAGGATTATCCCCTCAGTTCCATCTTCCCCAAATCTTTTCTTTATTTAGCTAAAACATATAACAGAAGCATCCAAGTTGTTGGAAGAGGAATCTATAGCTGTATGGTAAAAAGAGCACCAGGCTTAGAGTCAGCACAACCAGTCATGAATCCCAGTTCCAACCAGCTTGTGTTACCTTAGACAAGTCACTTTACTTTGAGCCTCAGTTTTCTTATATGTAAAATAAGGAAAATACTTGCACTATCCACTTCCCAGATGATTTTTTGGGAAAGCACCTTAAGGTGCTATAGAATGGTGAACTGTTAAGTGCATGTTATATGGGTCAAAGGTAGGTAGCTTAAGGCAATGTGGTACTGGTAGAGTGTGTTGGCTACGGGGTGAATTCCAACCCATGCCACTGACAGTCTTCAACAGCTGACAGTAAGTATACTGACATCACAAAGCAATTTCCTCTTGTGAATTTCCTAAACCAGACTGCTGGCCCTACTCTTGTCTGTATCCTCAGGACACTCTATTGTAATCCCATTTGAAAAGGTATGCTTTGTAGGGCTCAGGCTGAGTCGTACCTAGGAGTAAGTGTCCTGCCCTGAGATGGTCCAGCTTCTTGTCATAGGATTTCCCTTGTAATTTAACATCACTGCTGGATAGGAGATTGCACAAGCAGGAACTATGCCTGGAAATGCCACGTCTGGTACTATTCCTGAAGCAAGTTCCGAGAGATAAGCATCCTCATTACTTCATTGCTACCTACGGAGGGAGAAAGAAGAGACGAATTAGCAGCAGGTAATCAAGCATTTGTGCAGCTAGGTGGCACAGTGGATAGAATGCCAAGCCTGGAGTCAAGAAGACCTAAGTTCAAATCTGGCCTCGGACAATGACTAGCTGTGTGACCCTGGGCAAGTCACTTAACCCTGTTTGCCTCAGTTTCCTCACCTGTAAAATAAGCTGGACAAGGAAATGGCAAACCACTCCAGTATCTCTGCCATGAAAACCCCAAATGGGGTCACAAAGAGTTAGACACAACTGAAAGGACTGAACAACAGCAAGAAATAAATCAACAAGGATTTTTTAGATGCGTACTATGTACTAGGCACTGTGTTAGGCACCGCTGGAGGCAAACACAAAGAATAAAACAATTCTTACTCTGAGGAAGCTTACACTGTAATGGGGAGACTGAAGTCCCTTTATGAGTTAGCCTCTGATGATCTTAGGGCTACACCGAGGGAGGTGGCGAGGCAATCAGACTAATTTAAGGTAGAGAAAGTACCCCCATTGAGGATTTTTTTAAAGTTTGTTTTCAGCCTTTTCCTAGAGAGAGGTAGTAAAAATTCAAGACACAAACACCAAAGAAAATGCACAAAGGATACAATGACTTACTATATAACCCTTGTCTGTGACAAATCTGACTTTTTACACATGCCAAATGAGGTCAATATACCAGTAACCATGGGCAAGTCGTAGGATTGATGATGGATGCAGAGCTGGAAGGGACCTCAGAGGCCAATGCTCTCATTTTACAGATGAGGAAACCAAGGCCCAGGGAAATAAAATGTGAATTTCAGGTAGCTAGGTGGCACAGTGGGTAGTGATGGGCTGGAGTCAGGAAGACCAGAGTTTAAATCTGGCTTCAGCAGAGAGGCTGGGACCAGAAGGTAGCTTTGAAAATCATTAGCGTAGAGATTGTAATTAAATTCATAGAAGCTGATGAGATCACCAATGAAGTAGTATAGGGGGAGTTGTGTCTGTCTGTCTCAGTTTCCTCCACTGTAAAATGGGGATAATAATAGGACCTACCTCCCAGGTTTGCTGTGAACATCAATTTGCTCATAGGCCATCTCCCCTGCACTATCCCTTCTTTCCCCTTTTTCCCAATTTGGCTCCTGAGTGAACTCATTTAACTCTACACTGTCCTCAATCCTTGGCCCTCTCAGCATACTGCTGACCAGGCCCAGGCAAGCCTTGGTCTTAGATCACTCCTACCATGCACTCCCTTCACTCCTGCACATGTGCTGCTGAATAAAGATGGACAAAACCATGCACCCATTCTTGAAGTCTCCTCCTCCAATCTGGCCTGTCTCCTTTGCTGCATCCTCCTCCAGATCATGCCCTCTAACTGTAGCTGTCTCTCAGGGCTCTGTCCTGGGCCTTCTGTTCTCTCTCTGTATTAATTCATTTGGTGATCTCATCAGCTACCATGGATTTGGTTACCATCTAGATACTGATAATTCCCAAAACTACCTTTTTTCCCACCCCAACCTCTCTGCGGACCTCCACTCTCTCATCTCCACCTGTAGAACTGGATGTCCAGTAGACATCTTAAACTCATTATGTCCAAAACAGAGCTCATTATCTCTCTTCCTAAACCCTTTCTGCCACTACTTTCCCTATTACGGTAGAGAGCAACACCATCCTCCTAGTTCTTCAGGTTCCCAATCTGAGAGTCATTCCTGACTCCTCGTTATCTCTCTCCTCGTCATATTCAGGCTATTGACAAGGCCTGCCCATTTTACCTTTGCAACATCTCCCAAATATGCCTCCTTCTCTCTTTTGACACTGCCACCACTCTGGTACAGGCCTTCATCACCTAACACTTGGATTACTGCAATAGAGTGTTGGGGGGTCTGCCCGCCTCAAGTCTCTCCCCACACTAATCCAGCATTCATTCACCCACCAAAGTGATTTTCCTAAAATGCAGGTCTAATCATATGCCCTCCACCTCCTCCAGCAGCAAATACAAAATGCTCTGGTTGGCATTCAAAGCCCTTCATAAAGCAGCTCCCTCTTGCCTTTCCAGTCTTCTAAAACCTTACTCCCTAACACATATTCTTGCATCCTGTTTTGAAGAACAAGATTTTCCATCTCTCAGCTCTGGACACTCTCTCTGGCTGTTTCCTGTGCTTGGAATGCTCTCCCTTCTCTGCCATGATTACTGACCTCCCTGGCTTCCTTTATGTCCTAACTAAAATCCCACCTTCTACAGGAAGCCTTCCCTAACTCCTCTTAATTTCAGTGCTTTCCCTCTATCAACGATCTCCTATTTCTCCTGTATATGGCTTGCTTTGTACATATTTGTTTGCATGTTGTCTCTCTCTTCAGATTATAAGTTCCTTGAGGGCAGGGACTGTCTTTGCCTGTCTTTATATCCTAGTGCTTAGCTCAGTGCCTGGCGTGATGGAGGCACTTAGTAAATGTTTGCTGCTTGGCTGATAATATTGATAAAGTGCTTCGCATAGTGTCTGGCATATAGTAAGACCCATATAAATACTAGGTATTATTATTATTATTAGCCTAGGGTCACATAGGTGGCAAATACTAGAAGTGAGATTTGAACCACCATCCTAGTTCAAGCACCTGTTTTTTCCTCACTGTAGCATGTCACTTAACCCACTGCAAGTTTAAGCTGTATACAATGAGGGTAATACCTATAGTATCTATTTTGGAAGCTTGCTGTGAGATTCAAGGAGATAATGCAGATGACAAGTATAAATAGGTCTCTTCTGTGCTATTCAGACTAACTCTGAATGCTCCATTCACTCTATGATTGTGGGTAAGTGACTCTACCTCCCTAGGCATCACTTTTTTCAGCTATAAAAGGAGGTGAGTAGGACTACACAGAGGGGCACCTAGGTGGTGCAGTGGATGGAACACTGGGCTTGGAATCAGGAAGACTCATCTTCATGAGTCATGGCCTCAAACACTTACTAGCTGTGTGACCCTGGGCAAGTCATTCAACCCTGACTCAGTTTCCTCATCTGTAAAATGAGCTAGACAAGGAAACAGCAAATCACTCTACTCTCTTTGCCAAGAAAACCCCAAAACAAGGTCATGGAGAGTCAGACATACTGAAACAACTGAACAACAAACTAGATCTGTGATCCTGTGATCTGAGCCTGGTCTCCAGCCCGTCTGCCCCTTGCCAGATGTCTGCAATAACTCTGGAGGGAGGAGGCTAAATCCCAAGCAACATTCATTGTTACCTTCCAAGATCTGGTGGACCCTAGAGTCCCGTACAAACTGCTGAACGGCATAATCCTTCAAGTAGCCATAGCCACCGTGCATCTGCAAGGACTGGTTGCATATCTGGAGGAACAGAACAGGGCCGGGATCAGACACTTGCATGAAGGCAGTGAAGCCAAGTGGCTTCTCTCATTCATTCTCTAAACGAGTTGTTGTGATACAAGAGGGTACAACTCATGCATCATACCTCTGTGCCTTGGTTTGTAAAAATATACAAAATGAGACTGAACTAAATGACCTTTGGGGTCCCTTCCAACTCTGAGATTTTAAGATTTTGATATGATTCACATTTAAAACTGCCTAGTCTCAGCCCACAGGGCACTTGTCTATAGGATCTGACTTTTCACGGACAAGAAATAATGGTTCAATATTTGGCTTAGGGCCCCTGAGAAATAGGTCATTCAGAAGGGTAGACAGTATCTGGGGTCACAGGATCTGGGTTCAAATGTCAACTCTAACACCTAGCACCTCTGTCTCCTTGAGCAAGTCACTTAATTTCGCCTGGGCCCGTTTCCTCATCCATAAAACGAAGAGACTGGACCAGACAACCTCTGAGGCCCCTTCCAGCTCTGTGAACCTTTGCAACCACAGCCTGCCAGAGAGCTAGCTTCCCCTCATCAATAAAACCTTGGCTGGATTTATACAAAGCTATACCATCACTCAATGGTAAAAACCAGAGGTCCTTAAGTCATTCTAGAAATGGGGGACAGCTACGGACGAGTAGGTACACTCCTTTGGACTGCCCAAGGCTACGATCTCAATGGGAAAAATAATCATTGTCTTACAAAGTGGGGCAAAGGGAAAGTGTTGAATTCACTTATGATCTGGATATCACAGTGTAGAAGATGGCACTTCATAAGACTGAGATACTCCTTGAAGCTTAAGCTCTTAGGAGGGGATTTTAACTCTAACTAAAGGGTTATTCCTGACTCTAGTGTTCTTTCCTGGGGTCTTTGTCACTTACTGTGAAACATTCATCTGTAGCAAAGAGCTTGGCCATGGAGCAGAGGGCCACAGCATCTTCTCGCTCCTCCTGCAAGGCCACTGCTGCATTACGAATCATTAGCCGTGAAGCTACTAGCCGAGTGGCCATGTCAGCTAGTTTGAACTGCAAGTACTACAAGTGAAGAAAACAGGGAAGGGCGGGAGAGATTGGATTGTCCCTGGTCCTGGACCCTTTATAAGAGATCTTTTCTCTTTTGAAACTGCAGCATCAAGGTCCCCTGCATCATTTACTGGAAGGCATTCTCTGCTTTATTAGCCCTGTCTTCATCTTTTCCATCCTTTCCATGATCCCAAGATTGAAGTTATCACTTATCACTAGGCCCAGAGCAGAAGTCCCAGGCAAAGGCTGGGTGTTGAGTAAGAAATCAATTTCAAGTACAGTACTTATAACCTTCCCTCCCTTACATTCCTCTTCCACTCTGGTGAAAATGTGGGTTATGAAGAAGGTCCAGTTGGCTCCAAAGTGTGGGAAATAGGTATAGAGAAAACTTTAAGCAATCACCTGGTTGTTGGCCAAGGGCTCTCCAAACTGCTTGCGTAAAATGAGGTGGTCCCGGGCCAAGACAACTGAAGCGTGAGCGGCTCCAAGGGAGCAGGAGGCTAGATAAGAAGATTACAGTGGGCATATTTCAAACGAAGAGGTAGGGCAAATGACCACTGCATTCTCCAGTGCCTTCCTTCTTTTTCTTCTCCACTCCCTATTCCCCCTTCCACGTTCTTACCAACATTGATCCTCCCTCCATTTAACCCTTTCATGGCAATAAGGAAGCCCTGTCCCTCGTTTCCAATCCTGTTGGCCACAGGCACAGCACAGTCTTCAAGGATCACAGCTCTTGTTGGCTGGGAGTTCCATCCTACCTGGCAAAAACAAGGGACCACAGCACTGCCCAGAAGCACTCTCACAGGGGACCAATTCCATTCTGAAGAAAGCCTGGGAATTTCAGGTCTCTTTATCCTGGATCCTTAGTCTTAAATTTAGCATGAAGAGTTCAGGTTTAAACACGTGTGAGAGCCCTGGCTGACAGAGGATCTAGCCTACATATTAGTCAAAGACGCTATGTCTGGAGGCCTAAGATCCTTAAAGTCAGAGACTGCCATTATATTACCCATATATATTCTCTGTAATGCCAAGGGCAGCATTTTGTACACAGCAGGCACTCAAAAACAAACACATTAAATAAACTCCAACCTGATTAATGCATAATATGGAAGGGGCCATCCTGATCAATGACACTGAGGAGTCCTTGGGGATAACAAGTGGCCAATGCTGAGAATGTGATAACACTGGCATTTGTTCTAGGAGGGATGAGGTCAGGCCTACCACCTCAATCACTTCTTACAGAGCCATAATGATGATGATAAGCTGGCACGTATATAATGTTTTTGTTTTTGGCTAGGCAGTGGGGTTAAGTGACTCGCCCAGGGTCACACAGCTAGTAAGTGTTCTGTGTCTGAGGCCGGATTTGAACTCAGGTCCTCCTGAATACAAGGCCAGTACTCTATCCACTGTGCCACCTACCTGCCCCTATATAATGTTTTAAGGTTTGCAAAGTGCTTTACAAACATTACCTCATTTTCCCCTGACAAACAACTCTGAGAAGTAGGTGCTATTATTCCAAAGTAGAGGAACAGACTTTCTAACTCACCTGTTGATCTATGGCAGGGATTCTTAATCTGGGGGCTGTGACCTTGGTTGTTTGTTTTTAATATCTGGGCAACTATTTCAATAGTATTTTATTTTATATATGTAAAAACATAATTATGAGAAGAGGTTCAGAGGCTGCACCAGACTGCCAAAGGGATGCATACCTAGAGGAAGCTAGGTGGTACAGCAGGTAGAATGCTGACTCTGGAGTCAGGAAGAACTGGGTTCAAATCTTGCCTCAGATACTTACTAGCTCTGTGACTCATGGCAAGTCCTTTAACAGCAATCCCCCCACTCTCATCCCACCCTGGTTTCTTCATCTATAAAATGGGGATGATAATAGTAGTATTTGCCTCCCACAGTGGTGAGGTTAAGATAACAGTTGTAAAATGCTTTGCAAAAGCATTAAAGTGCTATACAAATTCTAGCTTTTAGCTGTAATGACACAAAAAAAATGTTAAAAACCCCTGGTCTATATAATCTGCACATGGCCCAGTTGTACCACGGACCCTGGCCAAAGTCTCTGTCAGTTTCTCTGCAATGGACATGGCTTGACGCTACAGGATATCCTCATTCTCAGGGCTCGTGGGTTTACTTTTCTGAAATTACCTAGGGAAACAATCATCTTTTTAACAGTTTTTTTTTAAATATCTACAAATACCTTCTTCCCTCCAGGCTTTATCTTACCTTCATCTGAAGAAGCAGCAGCTTATACCATTTTGACTACATCTTGGCCAAAACTGAAATCTGTCCAAAAGAACTTTTTTTATAAGATAACGTTGTCCATTCAGCTTCCAGTGTTAAGAGACCTGGAAGAAGCCCCCAGAACATTGGGCAGACACACTACAGAAGATTAAGTGAAGATAATAATTACACAAAGAAGGCTGTGGTCTATCCCAATGAAGGGAATACCCAGATAATTAGATTACAGAATATACAGCTGTTAGAGGCATAGAACATGGTCAAACAAATGTGATTATCATTAAACTTGTCTGGCCCATAACTTTGCCACCTTCCTTATTTGTGTAATGGGTATAAAGCCTTTTGGTGTTACAGTACTATGAATTAATCCACATCTGCCTCTAGAAAAAAACAGACAAAACAAACACTGTCTTAACGGCAGGCGGGCAATCAGATTTCTCAAGCTATTGTTATGAAGGCGAGGACAAGTTGCACCAACAGAAGTTGTACTGTCCAAGACCTAATAGTTGCTTGCCTAAATATGCTCCTTACCTTCTTCTCTTTCTTCCCAAAGCTGAGGCCTGGGGTCCCCTTCTCAACGACCAGGCAGGAGATCCCTTTAGGGCCTGGTCCTCCAGTCCGGCACATGACTATATAGATGTCTGATTCACCACCACCGCTGATGAAAGCCTGTGGGATTGGAGAGTGGGATGAAAAGGGAAGAGTTAAAGCTTGAATGCTTAATGTAGAAAACTACTAGAGGACTCGGTATATTAGAACCCCTAAGTAAAGGCTGGAGAGAGGAGAACCTAGAAGGGCTGATAGGGTCTGCAGGGTACTGGAGGTTCTATTGGATAAGGCTATGAAAAGGGTGTATTTAAGAGACAGGAACCATTCTTCTGCCTGTGGAACCCTGCTGACAGAGGGGATCTAAGAGCACATGTGATTTCTGGGAGAGAGGAAACACCAACCATAGCAGGGAGGAGCATCTGAGAATGAGGAAAATGGGTACCTTGGAGCCATTAAGGATGTAATTATCCCCTTGCTGTTTGGCTGAGGTCATAAGGGACACAGCATCACTCCCGCTTCCTGTGACAGAGAGGAAGGGACAAAGAAGGAATGGGAATGAATCCTCTGAGCTAAATGGAGCCTCAGACCCTCCCTGCTTCCCAGGCTATTTCCTCCCCAAACCAGAAGGGATCAAAATGGGAACCTTGAGGCTTTTTTCATCTAACCTGTCAGACCCCAGTTTCCAGGTGAGCAGTCAAACAAGTGACAGACTGACTAAGATCCTTCTGTGGGGATCCCAACCAAACTCACCATGTCTGCTCTCACCCAGATAGGGAGATTGCTTTGCTCAGTTTGGTTTTGTTCTTTGGTCTCATGGATACCAGAATTCTTTTGAGCACTTGCTACTTCAGAATGTAGACATTTGTTCTCTTACAGTTAAATCACTGAGGGACTCTGCTTTTTTATATGCCCTAGGTATTTGTTTCTGGGCACTGAGGAGGAAGAGTGGCAGCTTTTAATTCCAGTGACTATGCTCAGAAGTGTGGGAGGCCCACCTGGCTCAGTCAAACAGTAGGAAGCAAACTTTTCCATAGAGCAGAGTGGCGGACAGAATTTGTGCCTCTGTTCTTCATTTCCGAAGGAGTCAATCATCCAGACACACATGCTGCCAGGGGCAAAAAGGAGAGAGAGCAAAGAAATGGGGAAGGATGACAGAGGGGAAAAAAAAGAAAGGATGTGGAGGGAAGAGAACAGAAGATAAAGAGAAGGAGAAAGAAAGCAGACAAAGAGGAAAGAGAGACATTCTTAGACATAACTTCTGGAGAAAGGGCTGTATTTGAGTAGAGACCGGGGTGGGGAGTAACATAATACCCAGGGAAAACTGAGGCCAAAATATTTATCTTATGGGTTTTGTTACTCTCAGGGATGATGACAGATCATGAGTTATGCTACTTCTGCTTATTTTCCCAGCAGTTTTGAAATATATTTCCTTTCTATTACTTTCTCCTGGAACCAATACAGGCTTAATTGGAAGCTCCAATTGAAAGAAACAACAGCAGGTTCTGGTACCATGCATATTCTGCCCTGAAAAGGCTGAAAGATTTCCTGCACCTGAATCTGGGACCGGAGCTAGGCTGGCAGCGCATGTGCTCTTAAGGGCCCATAGAGGAATGTCCAATAGGCAGCCTAAGGGATGGCTATAGCTTCTGACACTGTGCTTGGTGTAGCCCAGCTCCATAAAGGAAAAAGATCTGGAAAGCTGGGAATAGCCATGTTACCCTAAATCAGGAATTCCCCAGAGCCACCTTTCAAAGCATCTGATGATGGCAGTACCTTCTCATACTAGGCCTAGGCACTCACTTGTGGATGCTTATGTAGGCTGTGGTGCTGGTGCAACCTGTAGCCAACGCCTCAAAGATGACAGAGGCATCAAGCCTGGAGAGCTCGGATCCTCCCACATCAGATCGAACATAGATACCACCGAAGCCCAACTGTGCTGCCTTCCTCATGGTCTCCACTGGGAAAAGCTCCTGGGTAGGAGAAAAGGCAAGGTTCTCTAAGAGCCTATATTTAGGTCTGAGTTGAAAACCAATGCCGCATTGTAGTGCAACAGCACCCCTTGGTTCTCAAAGCTTGGGCACGTCTCACCATGAGTCTGGAATGGCTCTGAGCATGGGCCAAGTGGTAGACAACGTGTGAGTTATCCGAGGCCTATCCTGGCTAAATTTAGAGAGGAATTAAACCAGAGGTCAGAGGATGATGCATTTTTTGGTCATAACAACTCTTGAAGACTGTCTACACCGGTAGTTCTTAATCATTTTTTTTTGGTCACGGATCCCTTTGGCAGGCTGCTAACGTCTATGCACCCCACCGACGAATATTTTTAAATGCATAAATTTATGTGTAAATACACAGGATTACAAAAGAAACCAACTACATTAAAATGTAGTTATTAAAAAACCCCAAAACCCAAACAAAACCAAGTACGTAGACCCCAGATTAAGAACCCCAAGTCTACACTAAGTCACAGAAGGGCTGCGATCTGCATCAGTGGAGGAAGTACGCACTCCGATGAAATCACAGATTCTTGAAATGTTGAAGGAAAGCATCAAGGAACCCTTGGTTGAGGAGGAGTACAGTCTAATATGGTTGCTCTCAACTTGACCCCCGAAGACTGAGTCAACTAGGCATATTTTATGGCACAGAGTGGACACTCAAAAAGTACAAGTTGCCTGACAAAATCAGTGGGTTTTATTGAGGCTGGATTGCTTGCACTGAAGTGTTCCTTCTTTGCTGGATCATAGATGAAGGAGCACTAATTTTAAGTAATCTCCAAATCCTTAGGTCATAAAACAGAAGTCTTCAGAATGATGCCTATTCTAACAAGAAGAATCCCCCCATTATTGAGTTGCTATGAAGCCTTGCCCAAAGGGACCCAAACCAGTTGGGATAACGAGGAAAGTCAAGAATAGGTGACCTTGGCACCTGGAAGGGGGCATTCTCACCTTCTGGTCCCATTCTGCCATTTGTGGGGCCATCTCCCGTGAGGCAAAGTCAAAGGCCACTTTCTGGAACTCCTTCTGCACATCATTAAGGCCCAAGGAGGCTGTGAGAAAGCAGTATATAAATGTGTGACTTAAGGCAGAGTTTGGAATGTCTTCTGGGAAGCAACTTCCTAGAGGCAAAATGATGTTTAAGATGCTAATCTACTCCAATCCAAGCCTACAAAGTGCCAGGTAATAAAACCAACAGAAATCATATGATTATTTCAATAGATGCAGAAAAAGCCTTTGACAAAATACAACACCCATTCCTTTTGAAAACACTAGAAAGCATAGAAACAAATGGAGCTTTCCTTAAAATGATAAGTAACAGCTATCAAAAGCCATCAGCAAGCATTACCTGTAATGGGGATAAGCTAGTAGCCTTCCCAATAAGATCAGGGGTGAACAAAGGATGCTCAGTATCACCACTATTATTCAATATTATACTAGAAATGCTACCTATAGTAATAAGAGAAGGAAAAAAACTGAAAAATAGAATAGGCAATGAGGAAACAAAGACTATCATTTTTTGCAAATGATATGATAGCATAATTACGGAATCCTAGAGAGATCAACTAAATCTTAGAAAATTCTAGAGAATCAACTAAAAAACTACTGGAAATAATGAACAACTTTAGCAAGTTGCAGATAAAAAAAACCCCACACAAATCACCAGCATTTCAGTATATTACCAATAAAGTCCAATAGCAAGAGACAGAAAGAGAATTTCCATTTAAAATAACTGTAAATGATATAAAATACTTGGAAGTATACCTGCTAAGACAAACCCCAGGAACTATAAAAACACAATTACAAAACACTTCTCATAGAAAGTCAAATCTAAAGAACTGGAAAAATATTAATTGCTCATGGGTAGGTTGAGCCAATATAATAAAAATGACAATTCTATCTAAAATAATCTATTTATTCAGTGTCATACCAATCAAACTACCAAAAAATATTTTATAGAGCTAGAACAAAATCATAACAAAATTCATCTGAAACAACAAAAGGTCAAAAATATCAAGGGAACCAATTAAAAAAAATTGAGAAGGGAAGTGGCCTAACCATACCAGATCTCAAGCAGTATCATCAATACAATCTGGTACTGGCTGAGAAATAGAGTGGTGGATTAGTGGAACAGATTAGGTACACAGTACACTGTAGTAAAAGACCACAGTAATCTAACTGTGAAACCCAAAGATCCAAGCTTTTGGGACAAAAACTCATTATTTGACAAAAACTGCTGGGAAAACTGGAGAACAGTATGGCAGAAAGTAGGTATAGATCAACATCTTACACCATATATCAAGATAAGGTCAAAATGAGTACAAAATTTAGATATAAAGGATGATACTATAAGCAAATTAGGAGAGCATGGAATAATTTGCCTGTCAGATCTATGGATAAGGAGAAAATTTAAAGCCAAATAACATATAGAGAGCATTATGAAATATAAAATGGATAATTCTGATTATATAAAATTAAAAAGGTTTTGCACAAATAAATCCAATGCAACCAAAATTAGAAGAAAAGCAGAAAACTGGGAGAAAATTTTACAGCAAGTATCTCTAATAAACACCTCATTTCTCAAATATGTAGAGAACTGGGTCAAATTTATAAGAATGCAACTCATTCCCTAACTGATAAATGTCCAAAAAATATGAACAGGCAGCTTTCAAACAAAGAAATTAAAGCTATCTATAGTCATATGAAAAAATGCTCTAAATCACTATTGATTAGAGAAAGGCAAATTAAAACAACTCTGGGGTACTACCACACCCCTATCAGCCTGGTTAATATGACAGAAAAGGAAAATGATAAATGTTGGAGGGGATATGTGAAAACTAGGACACTAATGCACTGTTGGTGGAGTTGTGAACTGATCCAAATGTTCTGGAGAGCAATTTGGAACTATGCCCAAAAGGCTATTAAACTGTGCATACCTTTTGATCCAGCAATCCACTATTAGATCTGTATCCCAAAGAGATTTTTCAAAAGGGGCTGGAGAACCTATATGTACAAAAAATATTTATAACAGCTCTTTTTGTGATGGCTAAGAATTAGAAATTGAGGGAATGTCCATCAATTGGGGAATAGATGAATAAGTTGTGGTATATGATTGTAATGGAATACTACCACACCATAAGAAATGACAAGGAAGATGGTATCAGAAAAACCTGGAAAAACTTAACATGAACTGATACAGAGTGAAGTGAACAGAACCAGGAGAACATGATACACAGGAATAGCAAAATTGCACAACGAACAACTGTGAATGACTTAGCTATTCTGAAGACAATCCCCAAGGACTCATGATGAAAAATGCTATCTGCCTCCCGAGAAAGAACTGATAGAGTGTAAATGCAGATGGAAACCTTCTCTCTTCTCTCATTTTTTCCCCCACTAAATCACTAATATGGAAATGTTTTACATGATTACACATGTATAACCTATATCAGATTTCTCATTGTCTCAGGCAGAGGAAGGGGAGGAAGGGAAGGCTAGAATTTGGAACTCAAAATTTAACAAATTTTTTAAATTATTTTTATGTGTAATTGGGTAAAAATAAATTTTTTTAAAAGTCTGGGAAGAGGTCTCTGGGCAAAACTGAATCAGATGGGGCACTGTGAGGCTTTTCTTATGCTTTGGTAGGTGGATATGTCTGTTAACCAAGGGTTTCATGAGCTCCTTGTCTAAGTATGTACCTTTATAGTAGTCTTTAAACAATAAGCTAGTGATAGTGAATGGCAGAAGAATGTCTAAAAATACAATGGGGTCCCTTCCTCACAAGGGCCCCTGGTTGTGGGTTTGAAGAACTAGGAAGAGCCATTAATAGCTGATGGTAACTGCCTAAGGATCCAGGGATTTCCAGGGAAGGAAATTACACAATTGCTCTCAAAGGTTGATAGTTTAATTGAAGTTTTCCTATAGGTCCATCTGTAAAATGAGGCAGTCGAAGTAGATGTTCCTTTAGATCCTTTCCAGCTCTGAAGCTGTGATCACAACAAACTAGTCATTTCATCATATCATTCTTCAGAGGTGCTCTGAATTCTATGACTGAAGGAGAGCAAAGAGTGGTCAGAAGTAAGTAGCTTCTAAACTGAGCTGGATCCCAGTTAGTAGTGACCACGTCGAAGAACCTCCCAAGTTGTAGCAGCATTTGATGATCTCTATCAGTGACCAAGTTCTAGGGCAAGAGTTCTTCATCTTGTCTGTGTAACGGGTTCCTCTGGCAGTCTAGTGAAGCCTATCTATGGCCCCTTTCTCAGAATATTTTTTAAATGCATAAGATAAGATACATAGGATTACAAAGAAAACTCAGCATATTGAAATAGAGATTATATGTGAACATATACATGCATATGCATGCATATATGCATGTGTATCTACATGTATGCAAACAGATACCAGGGGTGGGAAACCTGCAGCCTTGAGGCCACATGTAACCTTCTAGCTCCTCAAGTGCAGCCCCTTGACTGAATTCAAACTTCACATAACAAATTCCCTTAATAAAAAGGATTTGTTCTATAAAACCTGGACTCAGTCAAAAGGCTGCACCCAAGCACCTAGAAAGGCCACAGGTTCCCCACCCTTGAATAAACAAATATGCATATATACATACACACACACACACACACACACACACACACACACACACACACACACGGGTTCACAGATCCCAGGTTAAGAACCTTTGCTCTAGCGGCAAGGAAAAGATGGAAGTAGAGAGGGAGGATGACAAAAAGAAAGTCAGAAAATCCTTCACCATTCTCATAATACAATGCAGAGCCCTTGAAATGACAAGCCATAACTCACCGCTGACTTTTAGTTAAGGCTTCACCGGACTTACTTTTAAAGCTAGAAGGGACCTAGAAATTAAGTTTGACTCTATCATTTTATAGAGGAGAAAACTGGAGCCCTGAGAGGTAAAGTCATTTGCAGGTCATGCAGGTTGTAAGTACCAGAGCTGGGATTTGAACAGACATTCTCTCACTCCAAATCCTGATTTCTTTCTACTGTTGATGAGGTTTGGGGATGCTAGGACTCCGAGAATGCCAACGCAGAACTGGGCTGGGGCCCAAGTACTCCATCACTACCATCTTATCTATTGTTTTCAGGAATCTGGGGTCAAATAGGCATCACTTATAATACCAACAATCTCCTGGGCTCCATCTGAACCAAAGTGGCTCCAGGACACAGGAACTGAAGAACAGTTCTAAATTGGGGGAAGGGTGACAAGTACAGAGGGCACAAGATTCAGAAAGCCACAGGTCCTACTAGAGTGGTAAGGGAGAATTTAATAGCCCATATACAGAAGCTGGATTTGAGTTACAAATTAATTTGCCCAACCAATCATACAACAGACAGATAGGATCAGGGCAGAAAAGCAAAGTCAGAGTTAGCAAGTGACTCATGTAATTATAAGCTATGTAATATTGGCATAAAGAGTGCAGCTGGGAGTGCTGCTAGGATACCAGGTCCAAAAGGGAAAAAAGTGGATTAACAGGTAGAGTTGTGTCACCACATAGAAGGGATGATGGAAGGTACAATGTTGTAAAATGCCTATTCTTAAGTGAGGCGTCAAAGAATCTTAACATGTGCAAAGGTCATACTAATATGATAAAATTGTGATGGCAGGTTTGTACTAAATCACCTGGTCAAGGTATCAAGACTTTATTCTAAGCGTTAACTGAATTTTGGGAGCTGCATATGTGGGCTAAGTAGTAATTATTTGGGAAAAGAAATGGCAACACAGTTTTGGGCTTCCCAAAGCAAGCAGATTCTGGAAAAATGAACAGGAGAAACTAACTGGAAGAGGAAAAAACCATGGGTAAATCATTCCTGCTTTTCTAATTGCTCCTTCTCTGTATCCCTCATTGGCTTTCTTCCACCTCCTTCTGGCAATCCTTTTGACTTCATTTCTTATTTCTCAATACCCTATTTTGGTAACCTCAGCCATTTCTATGGCTAAAAAGATAAGCTCTAGGCTTCTTGCCACTTGTTACCTTCACTTACAGATCTCACCAGTATTTCAAACTCAGCTGGCCAAAACTGATCT